TGCTCACCACACGTGGCTTAAGCGTGTGACTTGTGTCGATATTCTCAGTCGAATTTGGTGATTGCAAACAAAGAAACCATTAAACTTACCGGCATTGTTTTTCTCTCAAAAAACGGTATCCAGAAGCTGTGCAGATAAACAGCTCAACGATGTGTGATGCAAACTGGACGTAAAATTTCAACGTGAGTTTTACTCCAAACTGGATGTAAACCTTCCACCGAGAAAACTTTCCACGTGAGTTATACTCCAAACTGTATGTAAACCTTCCACGTGGGTTAAACTGCACGAGTCGATGTGGAGGACTTCTACACACATGTGTGAGTGACTAGCCACGTGAATGACTACCCACGTGTTCGCGTTGATTGCCCATGGGGACTCAGGTTCTTTGTCAGTCTTGTCCACGCTCATGTCTAGCGCCTTCATCTTTTGCGGGACGCTTGTCACACTTAAAGCGAGTAACGGCTTTGCTCACCATAGTCTCTGTGGTAAATCATCGGAGCGCGGAATCCAAAGATCTGAGGTTTGATTGTTCAGAACTTTTTACTTTGTCCCACGTTCGTGACAGGACGACAGTATTCTTCTTCAATATTCGCTCGACAAAGTATCGCACCATTACCATGCGCGAAGCGGGTGTTACGAAAACTAAGACCCTCGAAAACTAAGACCTAGGACTTAAGACCCGTCTTAATTTTTGAGGTTACGAAAACTAAGACCTCCTAAAATCGAATCCGTCGAAATATGAAGTCAAATTGTGTCCAAAACAGGTCTAATCTGTCAAATTATCTCCTTTCCTCCGAGTTTTAGGTCAAATTTAGCGGCAAATTTAGGGGTCTGAGTTTTCGTCATTACGAAAACTAAGACCCCCACCAAACCAATCTGTAAAATTGCTACAAAGTCGAATTACGACCGTTCAAATACTCTAATCCGTAACACAACTAAAAACTACTATCATACGCGTGTTGATCTACGATCCGCTAACAATTTGCAGACAGGCTTTAAAAAGAGGATAAAAGCCATAGACTACGTATTTATTGTACACTGAAAATACGCCTTACCCCTATTTTTCTTTAATTATGTTCATTATTCTTTAAATCATAAAATTGGCTTTCCATTGGAGATGGATGTTTTTTTCGTGTCTCTGCGATCGAGATAGCGTTACCAGTAACTATCACCCAAGTGGGTTTATGTCCAGCGGTTGTCGTAGACAAGCGGGGAGCGCGCGCGGAGGGGAGCGGGGGAGGAAATTGCTAGTCTCGTGGGGTCACAAAACCTCTCTCGCGATCGCGAGTCGATGTTATTTTTTTATTTGCCCTTTAAAAACCGACGATACCGCGGGTAGCGCGCGGCTAGGAAGGGGTACACGAGTCATAATTTCTACGGTGGGTATCTACTGTTTGCGTCTCCGAGTTTGGGCTCCTTTTTATAAAGAATTTCTTCTCAAAATAGTACCCCGTTCGAGCAGTAGCTTAATTTTTAGCAACCCATTCTAGAATTTAATAATATTTGAAAGCCCTCCCATTGGTGATGACAAACTTAAGTTGTAAATAGTTGAACCCTAGATTTACTGTATTTTTCTTGGTTTTTCGTTGGGTTATCGGCTAAACATCACGCACAAAAAAGGATTTTCAAGCTCTTTTTCTGGTTAGGCCTTAACCAAAAACAAAATATTATTTAGAATGGCGGGAAAAGAAGTATCTCCTGCAAAGAGTACACCTCCTGACCCTCAAATTAAATTAAGCAAAAATCACACAATGAATGAATTTCAACAAGTGTCATGCCGTTGGAAAAAAAAATTTCAACAGACTGAACAATGCTATAATCAGCAGCAATAGTTTCGTAATTCTATTTTCGAAATTGCGAAAACTAAGAATCTTAAATTTACCGTTAAATTTGACCTAAAACTCGGTGGAAAGGATCGGACTGGAGATAATTTGTCAGACTAGACCTACGTTGGACACAATTTGACTTTGTATTTCGACGGATTCGATTTTAGGGGGTCTTAGTTTTCGTATCTCGAAAACCAGGTGGTGTACGCACTACGATCGCGTTGCATTGTGGATGGATAATTTTCAAGATGGCGGCGGAAAGGCGCGAGTTGGGTGAGTATTGCAATGTGTTTTTTCATCACCACGAGGATTTTTTTTGCCTTCTTTTTAAAATAGCAACTTTTTTGGTGCTTTTAAAAACATTCGAAGTAGTTTTATAGTGGAAGTAAATTCTGTGGTGCTATTTTTTATAGGAGGAACGTAAACACGTGTGTTCGTGCACAGGCAGCCCAAGCTCAGTGTGAGAGGTTAATTATTAATACATATGGTTTCATATTGCGTAATTTAAAATGGCCGTGAATATAAAGGATTTGTATGGGATTTCAGGTAAACGGTTACCCTGGTCCCAGAGGTTCTCTTCTCTCTCCCGGAGTACGATAATTAATTCGGCGCAAAGCGCCGACGAACGAGCTGCAAAGCAGAGAGCGGAAAGACAGAACCTCTGGTCAGGACCGTTGAGAATCTCACTTTCATGCCACCAAGGTTCGGGTGACAGCTATCAATCACGCGCCTTTCCGACAACCAATCAGAGTAAAGTACTAAAATACCTCTGGGGGTTAGGTGTCGTGTTTTTACTTGTATCTGGAGTGGGGGTGGGGAATATATTTTGTTTCATAGTCGTATTTACAATATCTGTCAAAATATTTGCTACACGTGCCAAATGACAAGCTCGCATGTAGTACGAACTCCAACAAAAACTCCGATTATAATCTTCTTCCCTCGGGTAAACGATTATTGCCGACTTTGCAACGAAAACGTTAAGATAAATGGCTATTCTCAATTGAATATTTTCACCGAGATCAATCGAGATTTTATGCGCCGCTTTAGGCTTGTTGTGAACGCCAAAGTTGAAAACAATTCCAATTACACTTTCAAATAGTACGTTTGAAATAGACTCCATAAATATAACCAACAGTAAACAGTGATCAACAAGACTCGTGAAGTTATACGGCCACGAAACAAAATATATTCCCCACCCCCACTCCAGATACAAGTAAAAACACTACACCTACCCCCAGGGGTATTTTTAGTACTTTACTCTGATTGGTTATCGGAAAGGGGCGTGATTGATAGCTGTCACCCGAACCTTGGTGGCATGAAAGTGAGATTCTCAACGGTGCTGACCAGAGGATCTCTCTTTCCGCTCGCTGCTCTGCAGCTCGTTGGTCGGCGCTTCGCGCCGAATTATCGTACTCCGGGAGAGAGAAGAGAACCTCTGGGACCAGGGTAGTAAACGGTTCAAGTTGATAAATACTCACTAGAATTATCAATAAAATACAGCTTACCGTATCTACTTTGCTTGTTTTTACTTTCTGTGTGGTTATTTTCCCGATCCTTTGCGATTTGAGCGATTTCCTTTAACCCCGAGTTTCCAACTGTAAGAGAAAGGACAAGGCTGCACACTCCACTGGATGCCCGATGCGAGAGGGGAAAAATCCTCAGCTTAAAATGGCCAAGCAGCCACAAATCCAACGCCGAATCCAAGCCAATACGTCCTTGTTTCATTTCATCTCATTCGCCGAGGAATCCGGTCACTGCAACCGACGCCAAGCGGCAATTTCATTTCCAAAATCCAAGCCAAAAGGACGCCGAAGATGCGAGTACCTTTTCACTGTGACACACGACCGTCCTTTCTCTTACAGTTGGAAACTCGGGTTAAAGGAAATCGCTCAAATCGCTATGGATCGGGAAAATAACCACACAGAAAAAAAAAAAAACAAGCAAAGTAGATACCGTAAGCTGTATTTTATTGATAATTCTAGTGAGTATTTATCAACTTGAACCGTTTACCAGAAATCCCATACAAATCCTTCATATTCACGGCCATTTTAAATTAAGCAATATGAAACCACATGTATTAATGATTAACCTCTCACACTGAGCTTGGGCTGCCTGTGGTTCGTATTGTAATTTAATACGATTTGTTTCGATCCTGAAACTTCTCTGTTCTGTTCAACGTTTGTTTGTGCCTAAAATGTTTCTTTCACTTTTAATTTACAGCTAGAAATGACCGCGCTCCAATGTGCCCCTTGACATTAATTTTTTTGTGCATTTGCAGAAAAATAGTTTTATGTATTTTGTTATAGGAACAGTCTTGGAGATTTGTGCAATTATGGTGACCCCATAGATATATCATGGTTCAAAAGTTTTGAAACCTGTTTCAAAAAAAGAATCAAATGGTTTTGAAACATTTAAATTCAAAGATATAATTAACCAGTAGTGTACAAAGATGTTAATGTCTAATAGCCCAAAGCAATTGGATTTTGCTCTTGGGCTAGGGGACTTTATTCTTCACGAAAAGACATTCTTATAGTGGAACAGGTAGAAAAAAAGGGTTAAAAAAGTTTCTCCTTCTCCTCTTGATGTTTCCATTGCCGTGAATTTCAATGACACAGGCACCCATTTTTCTTTTTTTTTTACTGGCTTCAAGAACTTTGGTTTAATAGGAGGCACTTTGAATTTTGTCCATCATTTCTTTCATTAGGCCCATCAAAGGTATCTGTGACTGCTTACACCAGAGGCTGTCGTTGGTCTTGTTGCTAATCTCAAGAGCAGGGAGCTGCGTCGTGTTGAATACAACAGATGATGTTGAAGGGATTAGAGCCACTATGCATGAGATGGTTGGAGAAGCATTTGATGTTAAGCAGTTCACTGATGAGCAGCCCAAAAATTCTGAATGAATTTAATAAGCGCATCGATCCAGATTTATCTTTTTTTACTGGACTGGAGCAAATGAACGTTTCAGTGAATTTGAGCTGCCATCATTCAAACAGCCATCTGGAGAAGGCATCACTGAAAGACTTAAATAATTTTCATATCACGTGGAGGTGACCCAGGTGTATTTGTTTTGGAGCGAGCTTCCATGCCACAGACAGGACAGTTAACTGCCAGAGCAAAATACCACAGAGCCCCTGTGGAATTACCCCCTGCTCTAATGCAAAGGGCACAATAACTTCAAAATATGTAGTCCCTAAAAATATCCATACCTCCCCAGGGAACTGACAACAGACAACTGCCTTTTTCCACGAAAACATCAAACTTACTAGTTAGGTACATTGTGTAAGCCCTAAAAAATGTTCCTTCTATTTGTAAATTAAAATCCTATAATTCTTTACTATTTATCATCTACTATAGTGATTTTAGGAAATGTTTAACAAAAGGGTGGTGAAAAAGTTGTTTTCAGAAGGAACATGAATTTTTTTACTTTAGTTCTACTTGACTTTAAAACTAGCTTTGAAAAATGCTTTTTCCCACAATCCTTTCCTGGTGATGTTAATTGTCAGATAAAAATCAATCATAAGAAAAGTTGTGCAAAAGCGAATTTTGTTCACAGATACCTCAAGAGATGGGTCTTTTAACAGTGGATGCAAATATTGTGTTAATTCATGTGCTAAGTACCCTACTTTCTTGTATTCTGATGATGCCATGATGTAAACAGCAATTGCATTTCTATCATAAAGATTGTTTGATTCTGCCTGAGTTTCACAAATAAAGGTCTGTTGTGTTCGTATAAGTATTCATATGATTCTTCACTTGCCTTTTGCCTCTCTGCTGTATGGCATGTTCCCAGTACTTTAAAGGGCAAGTAATGGCTGGTGGAAACAATTGCTTCATGTGCCTCCTCGGATTCATCATCTTCATTGCATTCCTCATCAAGATCAGAAAGGTAATCATTGGCTGCTGATAAATTGTGGGTTGGAGAGGAAAGTAACTGCTCCATCTTCAGGTTTTATTAGGTTCAGGTTTTTATAACCTCAAACATGATGACCATCCATTAAAAAGCCTACTCCCAAGGTACAAAGACTATATTGTAAACATTCAAAGGAAATCCATTGTCAGGCCCAGCGTTAACAATGAACGTTTTAAACAAAACTTTTTTAATAGATTAATTTTTTAATATAGTCTAGCTGTGTAAACACCCCATATGTATTTCTAATCATTTTTATTCAATTTAATCATTGTCATTTTTCCCATCAATATATATTTTTACTGTAACATCAGATATGTAATTTTATCGGTTGGTTTTTTAATAAAGACGAATTTATTTACAACACTGTGTAGCTCTTCCCTTCAATTTCAATCTCACAGTGAGAGGTACACAAGTATTCTCCTTGTTTGACTTCAGAAGCCATTGTCTTCTGCACAAAACCACTTTTGGTTTCTGTGCCTTGCTTGTAATGCACTTTGGCAAATTCCATTGCAAGGAAAGGAAAGCAGGGAATTTTCTGGCAAATCATGCAATGTCTCTCCACATGGATGATTTTCAAGTGCTCATTTTGAGTATCTGCTGTAATAAAAAAATATAAATAAATTTAAACTTGCTTTAAACAAAGTACAATAACTTGGTTGGTGAATTACTGGTAGAATGTTCTTGTACAACCACAGTATACATTTCAAGCCTGCCCAATGTGATTTGCTCATAGTTTTTAGACAATATTCCTGTGTACACTTTCCACTCATCAGCCATTAAAAGTAAAGGTAGTTACATTTAATAGAGCACCTAAAAATTGCTATGTGCATCTCGATTACCAAATATGTTAGTTCTTGCTAGATGCAATAAGTTACAACACAAACACTATAGTAATACAAAAAGTTCACCAGACTATACATACCATTGGTTGTAGGCTCAGTTGAAGATGCCAATTGACCACCTGATTCATTTCTCTTTACAACCTGCAAGAAAAATTTTGTTGCATAACATGTAATGTGAAAAACAATAATAACGCAGTAAATTTGTAGTATCAAGTTGTTATGTGTTATGTCCTTCAATCACAAACAAACAATTAAAATGAGCACAAGCGTGAAAACTCCTCTTGATCTTCAAGAAATCATTTTAGATGTATGATAGATTTAAACCTACCTTTGTAAACACAGGGAAGCTGTTGACCTTTTCCAAATTATTGGTGTTAACAATGCCAGCAGCAAGTTCCTTTGCAAAGGTGTTATCCAGATTACTAAACAAAACTTAAGGAGAACACTTGTGCAATCTGTAATTGTCATAAAAATAAATAACATTAACATAGTGTGTTCCCACCTTTTAACCTAATATTAATACTAATGTTAAATGCTTGTGAAAGATATCAGTGAAAGAGACGAAGGGTGAAATAAGTGAGCTGCCAGACAAATCTACATCAAACTAATCAGTGTTTATTATGCAGGAACAATGGACGAGCAAAATTACAAGAATTAAATCAGCTTACATTTATGCACTCGGTTATGTCGTCGAACGAAATCTCCACGGCTTGACTTCGAAGCTTGTTTGCTTCTTGGGGAGAAATGTCTTCTGCGGCTTTTCTAATAAGGTTTTCTTTTCCTCTGTGTGATCAAAGGTACGATACTTTAGACAATTAATTTGGTATGAAATTCCCATGGAGGACGATCATGAAAGAACATTTCAGAATAACCTTCGTCTCCTCTCATTTTCGCCTGCTTTGGATGGCAAAGACAAACCATCAAACACAACAATTGGAATAACACCAGCCTTCTTCACTGAACTTAAACATTTCTGAAAAATTTCACCGCACCCAGGAAATTATAAAATGCGACACTTTCAAGATCAAAAGTAAACATCCTCTCCATGGATCGACAACTTACAAATAAAATATTTTTCACCTATCTCGCCTTCCAGTCTGAGCGAAGGATACACTCAAACCTTTGTGAAGCCAGCAAGATGCATCAATAGCTGCTGTTTGACCCGCCAGCTCACGGAGATTCATGTTTTTGACAAATTTACGAAGAAAAGGCAGGAGACCGTGAATCTTCATTACGCATTCATTATTGAGAGATGTTCACTAGACCATGTCAAGAAGTAAATCACAAAAATTTATCTGAACGACCAGCATGCAACGCCATCGTATGGCTGTGTAAATGATCGACCTAAAAGCTAGATTGTCGTCTGAATTTTTTCTTATTATTTGCAAATCTTAATCGAGATAATTGTTAGTACAATCCAAGGCTATAGACAATGCGACTGAAATTACCTTTAGAACATAGCTTGCAGAGTCGCGCAATTAAATTCATTATACGTGAGCGTGCTCAAAATCCCGATAGTGCACGCTGATAGCGTCAGCAAATCCGACTTCGCCAGAACTTTTTTTTTCGCGCGAGCGGCCATTGTTAGCGCGGGGAAAAATAATATATTTCGCGACAATAATGGATACAAACAGAAACTCGGCCTACTAGTCCGAAAACGAAGACAATGTTTCGACCTTTTCCCTTGGGCTAGAGCTCTTAAATGAGGCAGAAAGAGAGAAAAACAAAGGAAAAGGAGACTCGGAAACAGCGCCGTCACGATTCGCTTCAACTGATATTGTTGTCCGTTTTTCGCGTCGGATTTGATGCACAATTCCACCGGCTATGTTCTAAAACAATTGGTTCATGCTTTCAGCTGTGCACTATCGAGTTATGGAGCACGTGGGAAGTTTGGAGAGCACTCAAGAAGCTAGAGTTTCCCTCGGCTATCGCCTCGGGCAACTCTTACGCTTCTTTCGTGCTCTCCAAACTTCCCGCGTGCTCCATAACTCGATAGTGCACGCTAAAGCATGAACCAATTGTTAATTAATAAAAAAGCCATGACTCGCAAGACAGCAATGCACACGCTTACCACCGGCCACGTGAATTCGCAGAACGTGTCCCTGAACTATATTCTCAACGTCATCCGGAATGTGCATTGTTTTCGTAAACGTCAATAATTCCGTGAGTACTTTTCATGCTGAATTGTTATGCCTTACAAAGTGGACAATTTTATCAGGCCATTTCCGACTTTTAAGAATTCTGAATCATGTTTTCTGTATCTGTCGGTACTCTCGACCGATATATCAGTCGGTCGATATATTGGTCGAGAGTCGGTCGATACTCGAACGATATGTCGGTCGACACTCGTTCGACACTCGGTCGACACTCGAGGAAGTACCAGTGAACTTTATTGCGACATACATCTCGACCGATGTATCGACCAAGTGTCGACCGACATAATATATAGCTAATGTACTCTGTTAAAACTATTATATTACAGTGAATCAAATACATTTTTTTGTTTATTCTTCTGCTTTTAGACGTTACTCACAGGTTTTATGAAGCAGATGTGGGGCGATGTGTAGAAACGTGCCACGCCTCTGACACCATCACAACCAAAGCTCTTCCTGAGGTGAAAATGGTATCCTACTAGCAGGTTATCGGTACATTCGTGGCGCTGCAACACGAGCGGCGAAGAGCCCGGATACTCGAGCCAACAAATTAAGCACACCTCCGGAAGCCTAGTCTCCCTCGCAGCCGTTTTTTTTTTGGATGTCACGCAACGCTCCCCCAAAAGAACGGCTGCTGACAACCGAACTACATTCCTTTCTCCGAATTGGCCAATCACAGCTCGGGTTCCATTTTCAGGAACCTTTTCGCGCCAGACTCACCTTTTGAGACTTGTCCAATCAGATATCGTTTTCTATCGCGAAGCTCATGTGGAAAACACAGGACAAATGCCGGTGCTTGAAAGAGCTTTTCGCAAAGCGTCGTCAAAGTTCAAAATTTTCGAGCCTAAAGCTCACCAGAAGCTTGCAATTAAAAAAGTTTTAGTCGAGAAAGAAGATGTTTTTGTTAAGTTGCCTACAGGATCCGGGAAATCGTTAATATATCAAGCACTCCCGCTCGTGTTTGACCATGTTACCGATGAAAGTGGTCATACTATTGTTATTGTTGTTGCGTTGTGCCAACGTGCGGAAACACTCGATAATTCGGGCCGATTTCCTGTACCGGTGATAAGAAGCCACGAACATAACTAATCGGTGTGAAGGTGTAGTCTGATCGACAACCTGTGCGGAAGTCATCATCAACTTGACTCCGATGATGACTTCCGCACAGGTTGTCGAAACGTCAGTCACTACCACCGACAACAGTCCTTCTCAGGACTACACTCACCCGGACGATCAGACTACACCTTCACATGTTACCCCCGGGTTCAA